GGTTGGGCAATCCTACTTCTGTAGTGATACTGCCTCGGAAACCCAAGGAGGGGTCGCTATGAGTCGGGGCCAACTCGACGGCACATAACAACAACAAATGTACAATAATTATTGTAAGTCTGGAACAATATCATATAACCTGAGTTAGTGTTTAATAAATAACATCTTATCTAAATGTACTGGTTCTGTCTTTGAAATTTCTGTGCAGTAGGAGGTTCATATATTTCATGAACAAAACCCAACTATCTTTGCAAAGCCAATTATTGTAATTACTATCAATAAGTTGTACACCTGTAGAAAGTTGCATTGGCAAAATCTGTGTGATAGATATATTTATAACAATAACAAGGAGAAAGTATATACTAAGGCTGCTTATGTACAACCAAATATCTCATGGGATTTGCTTCCTTGGTTTGCAGGTTTAGGGTCATGGTTTCATGGGACATCCCAGTTAATTGGCCTTGTAATGTTTAGTGCTTCTGTTCTACCTCCTAGTTTGTTGTGTAGTGCTTGGGGTCTTAAAATCTGACAAACAGCTATCCAAAGCACAACAATTGGTCTCTATTCACCTGGACCAACAGAGGAAGAAGACGAGTCAACAAGAAGAGGAGGATATAGAATGTGTGGCTAATTACGTCCATGAACAGTGCCTCCTTTGCCATGAGACTAGAAGAACTGGATGGTGCCTGGCTTCCATTACTGAAGGTTTTGATCAAAGATTCCATAGAAGAATCCTGATCAAAAAAGGGAAAATGCTGAACATGATTTCAAATTCTCATGGACTCTAGATTTTCTGGAGCCATGAAGGTTAGATGAACCGCTGAAAATACTGCCCTGAGAAAATCTTTGAACCTTAAACCAAAAATATTCCCTGACATCATCTTAAAACCGAACAATAGTTCAGCTTATCTAGTAAAAAAGATCTGCCTTGAGCATTATATTCTTTTCTGAGTTATCTAAATGGAATTAAATTGACAACAGCAACTCAAAAGATTAGATAGGAACCCTAAGGGGCAGTGAGTTTATGTTAATGAGGGAGGTTTAACCCAGAAAAGGAAGGTGAGAATGAGTGCCCAACTTGAAGAATATAATCAGTGTTACCAGACTGCACATGGAAAAACTGTTGACTTGGTATGTATTTTGCTGCATATATTCTCAACAACCACAAAATAAATAACATTTAGAAAACAAACAAATATCCGTTGCTGTTTTTCTCTTCCACCCCCACTCCCATGCCAAACAAACAAAAATCCCCAGATATTTTGCTTATGCTTCCTCAAGGTCAAGTGTTGAGTCTTATATATCACTATGTCCTTAGTTCTTAGCCCAGTGCCAGAAACACAATAGGTGTCAGTAATATTTCTATTGCTTTATAACATAGTCAACCATCTGACAGCAAATGCTTAACTGCAGGGAATCTTTGAGAAATGTATGTTTCACATATTCATATGGTTTTGGAATGAGATGGTGAGCCACTTCAGTGGCCACATTCACTTCTTTCTGTCTCACAGACCACCTGGAAGAAAGCTTTACCCATAATTATCTCTGCTTATATGTGATTGAAAAGATCATCATTGAATAAAATATTGCTTCATTTAAATAAATAATTTTGCTCTATTAATTTATCCAAAGTGATTCCACTGCAGTGTCAAGCTAGATAAATTCTAGAGTAAGGCACTGTGTTAGACTGGGTTCTCTAGAGAAACAAAACCAGTATCACAGCAGCATAAGAAAAAACATCTTAGTCTGGGGTCAGGGGACCTTGATTCCAACCCTAAATCTCCAACAGCGTGGCCTTGAAGAAACAGTTTAATTGTTTAGGGTTTCTGATTTGAAAATGCAGAGTTTGAACCATGTTGTCCCTAAGGTCCCTACCACTACCACTACCAATGAAGCACTGATTCTAATTATACCAACCTGTGTTTTGACATTTGCTGCCTCTCTGCTCAATTCTTGCGTGGTAGTTCCTCTTCTACTGATGTCAAGATTTAGACTTTCAGGATCTGTTTCCTTTGCCATTATTTTGCAAGAGTTGTTATCTTTTTCATCAAGAGCTAATAGTTCGGCAGCTAGACAACCTAAGAGTTCATCTGTCAATTCTTCACTCTTTACAGAGTCCAGAATTTCTTGGGAAATGGAATTTTCATCATTTAAAGATTTTCCAAACATTTGAAATGTAATTGATTTATTTGTTAAACTATCATCGTCCAAAGAATGTGCCCAGTTTTGATATCTTTGGGAAGTTGCACTTTCTTGTTTCTCATGGATAGAGAAACTCATGAGTGTTTTAGATTTGTCTGAAACACTATCAAATTCTAGATCATCAGTTACAATTTGGTTAGCATTTAAGTTACCAAAAGATACTTCATTCTGCTTTTCTTGCAATATACGTTTGTTGGAATTCTCACTGGGCATTGCCCAGCTGTTTTCTAATGGGACATATGGGATCTGGTGATGTAGCTCTTCAAGTTCCTGCAGATCTCTAAGGCTTGTGGTGAGTAGTTGATTGTTAGAAACATCTCTTGCTTTGTTAGACTCTTCCATAGAGACCTCTTTAACAATGCACAAATCTGAAGCAGGAAGGAATTCGTTCTGTTCTGTGAACTGCTCAGGATACTGAGCCAACTTCATGATGTCATCTTCAAAAGATAGAAAGTCATTTCCTGAAGACTTTACCTGCCAGTCTGGTCCTGCAATACCATCATCATTTTCAATATCTTCTAGGTTCCTAGTTGTTGACTTGCAACTCTTTTCTTTTAAACATTTGTGCTTTTGTTTAATGCCAAGAGAAGTCTTTAGGGGTTTAATATGTGGTCTTTTCTGAGAATGTCTGGTTCTACTATTGTTACTCCTCTCATTGTGTGAGGATCGACATTTGTTGGTGATACATCTGCCAGATGAAGCTGAGCATATCTCATGGTAATACTTATTTTCATATCGTCCAGCTTCTCTTACATGACAATAAACAGGGGTGCCAAACATTTCATAAATTCCAGGTCCATTGCCAATCGAGTTAATTTCTTTGAACATGTCACTATATTTAAGATCTAGGTAATTTAGGTTTGGTTCTGTTGGTTGAACAGAAAAAGGAACAGAAGACTTTTTTACTACAGGATTTTTACAGATGCAAGGAAGTGATGGCCTTTTTGGCTTCAGAACCCTGTAAGTTGATTGCTTCTTTTCTATCTGTGGTGCTCTCCTTTGAAACTTGGGTAACTGCTGAGGACTGGGATCAACAAGCCCCAGAGCAGGAAAAACTTGAGTTTTTACGTTGATTTTATGTGCGGTAGGTTTAATGGACCCTTCAACAGAACTCATGAAATTCTGAGGTGTCCTATTACTTATCTTGGTCTTTGAATCCAACTTATTTCTACAGGTCTTCATCTTATGTTTGTCATTTTCTTGATGTGCAAGATTACTGAAACTATGGTTGTTGGTGTGAAGGGTACCCTTTCTTTTTTGGAGGCTTGGTTTGGCCATTACTGATTCCTTGGAGACTCCATCCTCTGGGAAAGTAATGCAGATAAGAGGCACCATTTCATTCATTTCTGGTGTGGTTGCTTCTTCTATTGATATTCTTATGTTTGTTTCTGTGCCGCTATGACCTTCTGGGAGCTTTTCAATGGGGCCGTCAGGAACTATATTGGATGAGCTTTTAAGCACAGGATGCTCTTCTAATTCATCATGATTTTGCTCAGTTGCTTCTTTTTTATCCACTGAAGCACTTTTTGAGTCAATTTGATCACTTCTACTTTCTTCATCCTGGCCCTGAGTTACCTCTGGATGCTGGAGTTTTTGGAGCTCGCTTGGGATGGCACGGGCAATTTCTGATTCTTGTTTGTAGTTTCTAAATATTGATCTGTCTTGATTTTGTAATGAAAGATATTGAGAATTCTCTTCTGCTTTCATTTCATCCCCAATATACTCTTCCCTATTAGTGGAATTATTATCTTCCTGCTCCTTTTCAAAAAACACCAAAGACTGTTCTTTTTGAAAGTGAGAGCTTTCAATATGGTCACTTCCTTCTGTTTCCTTGGATTTCCAATTCTCCACATCTAGGTGTCCTCTGTGAAGGTTAGCCTTTGGAAAAGAGCACATGTTTCTGGACCAGATGGAGCTATCAGAAGATCTGGGGGTCTGATCCACAAACATCTTACACGGGGTTTCCTGCTGCTTGTTTGATGGTCTAATCTCATCAGATCGACTAATGGGCTCTGAGATATTGGGTACAAAGGACAGGAAGCCTGGAATATGTCTTTCTCGTTCTTTTTGAACTTTGTGATTTGGGGGGATGGTAAGGAGGCCAGATCTCCTGGGCAGGAGTGACAATGGTGGCAGAGGAAACTGAAAGGAAAGAGAAAAAGCTAATGAATACAGACACATATATAAATAGCATGTAAACCAGTTTAAGGTTATCTGAAGGGATTCTAGGGAGCTCTGGTAGCATAGTGGCTAAGACACTTGACTGCTAACCAGAGGGCTGGCAGTTCAATCCCACCAGCCACTCCTAGGAAGGAAGATGGGGCAATCTACTTCCGTAGTGATACTGCTTTGGAAACCCAAGGAGGGGTTGCTATGAGTCGGGTTAGACTCGACGGCACATAACAACAACATAAGATTGTGTTTGGCAAGGCCTTTAAAGGACAGAGCTATCCTGGAGATTACAATTTTTAAAACTAAAATCTCATCCCCAATGGTTTCTTTAAAAGCAAGATCAAATGATACTTTTATAAACCAAGATTATTATTGATGTAAAGATACTTAGTTATATATTTAAAAATGAAGGCCCTATAGTGTAAATGTTAAACATTTGAAGGTAAGCAATGCTTTATTTCTTATCTTTTTTAAAAAAAAAAAATTTCCATAGAACTGATATAAGATAATTTAAAACCTCATTAGGCTTGAAATGCCCACTTTCTACAGTTTAAAATTATTATTCACATGTACTTTAAGGATGATCATTATGTTACTAACTCAGAACACAACTGTTTTAAATTGTTTTGCTGAAAGTGGCACATAAATGTGCTACACTTTACACTTGAAAGTTAGAAACCCTGGACAGCATTGAATTTCTCCTCTGCCCTCCATTTTTAAACTAAGCTGGTTTTTATTAGAAGCTCTGGTGGTGAAGTACCTACGGCATTTGACTGCTAACCAAAAGGCTGGTGATTCAAACCCACGAGCCACTCCTCAGAAGGAAAGTTGGGCAATCTACTTCTGTAGTGATCCCACCTGGGAAACCCAAGGAGGGGTCTCTTTGTGTCGATCCAACTCTACGGCACGTAACAACAACAGTTTTTATTATCAACCTCTAGAGGTCAGTGTAATCCAATTCATAACATTGAGCTTTGTTGTCATTAAGCTACAGACTCACTTTATAAATATTCTTTATTTAACTTTATGCTTCTTTTTTGTTTTTTTTTTCCACTGTGGCCTTTCCTTATTTATGCATTTTCAATACCATATACATCAGCATTTTGATAAGTATGGATTGTGAGTGGTAACTGAGAGCTATATATTTAACTTTATTCTACTGACACCTATGTTTAAGAAGAAAGGACAAGGAAACTGATGCTAGGAACTTAGGTTAGAAATAAATTAGATGCAATGTAATCCCCCAGGTTTATTGGCAATATGATTTTCTTCTATTTCTCAAAAATAATTTAGGAAACAAAGACATTTCTCCCAGTGTTTAAACATCTCCCTAGAAGCATCCATTAAACTTTTTTACACCAAGAAACTCCTTTACAGAGCACTAAGCAGTAGCAAAGGTCCCTAGGTGGTGAAAATATTTTACACTTGACTGCTAATCTAAAAGGCTGGTGGTTTGAACCCACACAGCGGTACTGTGGAAAACGAGGCCTGATGATCTATGTTGATTAAAATTATAGCCATGAAAACCACGTGCAGCACTGCTACTCTGACACACACAGGATTGCTATGAGTCAGAATCGATTAAACGGCAACAGTTTTTGGTATTTCTGTTATTGTTGCTTTTTAACAAATAAAGCATTTTTCAAAAAATTTTCAAGTAAAGCATTTGGACAGACCCTTGCAACGATTTAGTTCTCTCAACTATGTTTACCTCTTGTATCCTAAAAGCCTCTCAGAAAATACTTATACATAGCTACTGCTTGTTGTTCTTAGTTGCTATTGAGTTCATTCAGATTCACAGATAGCCCATGTCCATAGGGTTTTCAATGACTGATTTTTCAGGCCTTTCTTCCGAGGTGCCTCTGGGTGAACTTGAACTGCCTACCTTTCAGTTAACAGCTAAGTCTGTTAATCATTTGCAGTACCCAAGGTTTAATGTTGTAATTAAAAATAAAGAAAACAAATCCATTGCTGTCGAGTTGAATTCCGACTCACAGTAACCCTGTAAGTTAGAGTAGAGCTGCCCCATAGGGTTTCCAAGGCTATAAATCTTTATGGAAGCAGACAGCTACATCCTGCTCCCATGGAGCAGCTGTTGGGTTCAAGCCACTGACTTTTGGTTTGCATACGAGAGCTTTAAATACTGCACCACCAGAGCTTCTCTTAATTGTAATTAGACATTAGAAAATCTTTCAACCACTGGAAAAAGAAATTATGTAATTTCTACCACAACCAACCAAACTCACTGCAGTCGAGTTGGATCAGACTCATAGGGACCCCTCCTTGGGTTTCCAAGGCAGTATTATTACAGAAGTAGGTTGCCCAACCTTCCTTCTGAGGAGTGAGTGGCTGGTGGGTTTGAACCACCAGCCTTCTGTATAGCAGTCAAATGCTTTAGGCATTAGGCCACCAGAGCTCCTATATATATATTAAAAGAAGGCAAAACATGTTTAAGAGAGCTACTTTCCTCATTATGTAGAGGTAATGGTAAATACTCTCAAAAAAGAAATGAACATAAGGCATAATTTTCCTAGAAATTATTTGCTAATCTATAAACTATAGGTGAGTTATTATTTTTCCAAGATGTAGTTGCTGAGGATTTTGGTTCTCAGTTGTTTGATAGAGTTTATCTGCAGCAACAAAATTTCTTTGATTTTAATTCTTCAGTCAAAAAACTCTAAAATAGAATAATCTTACCTCATTTCTTTGCCTAGTGAGCTTCAAACCAGAGGTAGAAAACCCTATAACAAGAAAAAATAATTGGATATTCTTAGTAGTAGAGTGAACACAGTCAGACTTAAGTCAGTGTTTGAGGATGGCGTGATATTAATGACAAGGTCTGAGGAAAAATAGAAATTAAGACTTTTTTTCCTTGTGTTTTCCTCGCGTAACCCATATGGAGGTAGGTATGGGATGAAGACACAAAACTTCAGGCTAGTGTCACTAGGGGGAATTATTTGTCTCTCTCTCTCTCTCTCTCTCTCACACACACACACACACAATACTTATATTCTGACCTGAAACATGAGATCTCTGGATCAGAGACTAGACCATGTATTACTCACAGAGTGTCTTAACACCAGTTTCCTATACCCCAGTTTCCCACAGGAATGTAGTAGAGTTGCATCGCAGTAAGAAACACTGAAATTAAGAGGCTTGGAACTTCTATACATGATGGCTGGTTCTTTGGTCTATTTTCCCCTCCAGAGAAAGAAAGATCTTTAATATGAAATGTAAGCAAAAGTCTCCAGAGGAAAGAGGAAATGTATTTCTAGGTAATATTGCCCCAGAATGTAAGCAAACACCTCCCAGGGAGATAAGTCTCTAAATCTCTTTGGAGCTTATCTCTAACTTCCAAGGCATATTTGCCCTTGAATCATCTGTAAATGTAGTTTCCTGGTACTTTTTGCTCCAGAAGCCTGGACTGTGCAGAAATGTGAAAATATTCATGAATAATTCATGGATAATTGTCTCCCAGTTGTTGTTTGCCCTCATACATGGGATAGATCATAAATTCTGCATAGCACACTCAGGGGGTTGGAAAAAGAAGAAAGAGGTGGGGTTTATAGGTAGTGTAAAACCTAGACGTTATTCTCCTTTTTTTCAACCAGTTGTTGGCAGAGTGGGTAAGGCATTTAGTTGCTAACCAAAAGGTCAGCAGTTCAAACCTACCAGTTGCTCTGTGGGAGGAAGAGAAGGCAATCTACTTTGTAAGGATGTATAGGAGCTCTGGTAGCGTAGTGCCTAAGGCACTTGACTGTTAACCAGAAGGCTGGCAGTTCAAACCCACAAGCCACTCCTCGGAAGGAGGGTTGGGCAATCTACTTCTGTACAGATACTGCCTTGGAAACCCAAGGAGGGGTCGCTATGAGTCAGGTCTGACTCAACAGCACATAACAACACAACAACAAAGATGTATAGCTTTGGAAACCCAATAGGGGTCACTATGATTTGATGGCAGTGAGTTTTGGGTTTGCTGATCCAATTCATGATGACCCCGTGTGTATTAGCGTAAACTGTACTCCATAGGGTTTCCAATGGCTGATTTTTCATAAGTAAATCACCAGGCCATCTTCCAAGGTACCTTGGTGTGGACTCAGACCTCCAACCTTTAGTTAGCAGCCAAGTGCATTAACTATTTGTACCATTCAGGGACTGTTCTTTTCTTACCCAAAACTCTGATTGGTCCTCCAAAGCCCCACCCACCCACCCACTACAGCTTAGAGTTGAGAGCCAAAACTCCAAAGCCTTCAGGGTCAAAGTGAACCATATAAGTGGATAACGTGGGATAGGTAGGGATAGTAGTAAACTGAGATCATGTGCCCCAACTAATGGGACATCCATTATCCTGCTCTAACTTGTGGTGTTCATTCCAGACGGAAAAAACAGCACTGTCAAATCTTCCCAGTGTCAAGAGAAGCCAGAGAGCTGACAATTTCATGTGAAATCCCTACTCTTCTTCTTTTTTAATGTTGTGGAAGCCAAACAAAACATATCTCTGGGTCAATTTCAGGCACAGGCTGCCATTTGAAACTTCACTTTAGAGAGAAATAGAATAAACTCTCTAAGATGTGGCACAACTAGAGAAGCCATCCTCAGGTAAAAATGGCCACCTGAGAAGAGGTTCCCAATAGGAGCAGCACAGGTATGATACCCCGTTCCCCACAACAATTCCTTATGCATTCATTCAACAAATATTTACTGAGTGCCTACTGAGTGGCCAGCACAGTTCCAGAAGATGGCAATAAGTTCTGAACAAAAAAGATGAAAATTCTTGCCCTCATAAAGGTCTCATTCTAGACGCAGAGATTATCTGTTGAAGAGATATTGGAAGTTAATACCAGAAATACAACTGAATATAACTTATAGT